CGGGGCAATTCAAAGCAGTCGAGACGGGGCAATTCAAAGCAGTCGAGACGGGGCAATTCAAAGCAGTCGAGACGGGGCAATTCAAAGCAGTCGAGACTGGGCAATTCAAAGCAGTCGAGACGGGGCAATTCAAAGCAGTCGAGACGGGGCAATTCAAAGCAGTCGAGATGGGGCAATTCAAACCAGTCGAGATGGGGCATTTCAAAGCAGTCCAGATGGGGCAATTCAAAGCAGTCGAGACTGGGCATTTCAAAGCAGTCGAGACGGGGCAATTCAAAGCAGTTAAGATGGGGAAAAAATGATTTGGGTTCTATATGCCTTATAAGGGAGCTGCTACTGATAGAGCAATTAAAGACACGTATTGTTTCAACTTGACTTTTGAAATGCCTCTTGTTTCTTTTTCTTTTCAGATACATGTAAGGTCATTGATCAATATTTGTCAAATTTAATTTGTAAGATTTGTTCTCAGAAATACAAAATTTCAGTTACTTCTATTGTTATAATATACTTCGTAACCGATCATAAATCATTTTAATTAACAAGTTATTTTGGTACATTTCACAACCATATTTTTCAACAATAAACAATGTACACAGCTTTTTAGGCCACAATAATTTAATCTATGTTTCTCAATTGCACATATCTATTGTGAAAAATTTGTCAACTTTGCAGATAAAAGTTGTGTGAGCACATTGAAACATCAATAGTTTTTATTTTCACTGAAAATTTTTAATTTCGTGGGAAAGTAAAACATAGAACTAAATTATTGTGTATCTTTTTATTTAATTCATATTTTATATATTGTTTTATATTACTGTATTTCTAGCATTGTTTTGTATTTGTAGTAAATTTTCCTTCTTTAAATAACAAATGTACGTATTGAAAAAAACAAATAACAAATTTTATTTTAAATATAAACGTTTGTTACCAAAGAACTGACTTGTGTTTTTGAATTTTAAAGGAAGACTTCCCATAAAGAATTGAGGTAAAGCTTCTTTCTATTAATTAACTTTGTCGCCAGTTTTATTACTATCTTGTACAAAAATATATTTGGATATTTAGAGTATCGGGTGTAACAAATTCTCGCGTCCAGTTAGACTTAAAATATACCATGAATATTTACATTTGAGATACAATTGTTGGTATGTGTTGGTTGTATGATATTTCAGATTTGTCATCCTGTACTTTGTTTAGTAATTTGGACTTTCCAGATTGCGTAAAAACGAATAGTTTAGCGATTTTGACACTGAAAAATACCTGGGCTAAATCATTTGCTGAGGGACGGTCGCTTAGGTATGTGCACTCTAACTTGCAGCACTTGAACCTAAAAGTGCTATCAAACAAATAATTATTTTATACTAAAGTATGTTCAAGGTCTTGGCATTTTTAATAGCATGAAAACAGTTTTCACCCTTATTATGACACCCTCAAAAGAGAGTACCGTAAAATCTGTATTAGAAGCCGCATCCCTAATAGAAGTCGCACCCATTCTTTTTAAACAATTGGGAGCCAAAAAATCATCATTTCTCATATGTGTAGATGCTCTAATAGAAGCCGCACCCCCTCTATTGGATTGTACCATTTTAATAGAAGCCGCGGTTTCTAATACAGATTTTACAGTAATTTCCATTCCCCTCAGAGGAAAACTATGACTTAATCCCCTACTTTATGCTCTGACTCGAAACAGTTTTTAGACAAAGTCGACACAGCGGAGCTGTTCATATTACTGATTGTCAGTCGTTGTCAACTTTACAATTTCAACTTCTTCTTCGAAACCACAAGTCAGAATGTTTGCAAATTTAATATACAAGTACCTTGGATGGTTCTTTCTCAGATTTGTTCATTTCATGTAAAAATCTCAAATTCTCTATTTTTGGTGAATATTTTTGGTAAAAAGTGGTATTTTTGACTTCTTGGTAAAGTCCGATTGCTTTGATAATATATATATACCGGTAGTTACTACATGTGGACCTCTCTCAGATTTGTTCATTTCGTGATGATATCTTTGATTCTCTAATTTTGGTGAATATTCTTGTCATTTTTGGTAAATAGTGATATTTTCGACTTCTTGTTGAAAACCGCAAGTCCAATTGCTTTGATATTACATATATAGGTACTACATGTAGACCTTTTCTCAGATTTGTTCATTTTGTGATGATATCTTTAATTCTCTAATTTTAGTGAATATTTTTGTAATTTTTGGTAAAAAGTGATATTTTTGACTTCTTGTTGAAAACCGCAAGTTTAATTGCTTTTATATTACATATATAGGTACTACATGTAGACCTCTTTCAGATTTGTTAATTTTGTGGTGATATCTTCAATTATCTAATTTTGATGATTATTTTTGGTGAAAAGTGATATTTTTGAATTCTTGTTGAAAACAGCAAGTCTGATTGCTTTGATACTATACATATTGTTCATTTTCTAATGATATCTTCTGTTCTTTAATTGAAATGTGCATTGCTAACAGCGGAGCTATCTCAGCCAACAGGCTGCTTGTTTATGCTTCACATGTTTATTTGTCCTTAATTATGTTTTGGTGGTCGTCACTGTCCCTGGAATCTTGCTGATAACCACCGACAACTAGAACATTTAAACCTTTGTTGGGAAATTCATGTGCATTGAATTGTGTTTTTAAGTCGTGTGTCATAAATTGCATTTTTACAGTCTCTCAAGTTTGTTTCAAATACTGCAGTCGCACCAGATTAAAATGAGCACCATTTTAAAATTAATCAGTCAAGACATGTCAGGATATTTATTAAAACAAAATGGCCACCAGTTGGCAATGTCTAATCCTATTATTTAAGATTCGTATAAAATTTCAATGCTTATTTTTTATGTCTGTTTAGCATTTATAGCCCAGGCCCGAGGCCCCTATTATTATTGTCTGTTTTTTTCTTTTCGTCAAGCTGATAGTCCCTAATGTGAACTGGTGCACCTGACTTTCAGAATGTGATTGTTCAATTGGTTTGGAAGCCATATTGGATTGAATTTAAACAGGAAGTGGTTATTTGACCACTTTCTGAGGGTCTAGGTAGTCAGATTTTGTTATGGCATATAGTACAACTCATATGTAATAGATATCAGCAATAAAAACTTAAGCGGTCACATGACTTTTTTCACCATCTTTTTTCTTCAAAAAACACTTAAAAACCAAGTAAAATGCTCTCAAATATGGTATTTTATCATCTATATATTAGTATGACCTACATTTAGGTTTGAAAAATTTGTTATGATTGGTCACATGGTTTGGCCACCATTTTGGTTTTCTTCTAAACAGGAAGTACCGTTAGTATTTTACTTCAGCCACATTTATGTGATTACCTTCTAATTTGCTGCATTGCATCTTTATATGGAACTCTTTTAGGAAGTTAAAAAAAATGTCAGATTGCAGTAGTTTGGATTTTAATAGACAAAATTGACCAAATGTTTAGGCATTTGTTTCTCAAAGGTGCTTCAGTCGATCAACTGTATACTTTAGATATAACATGTCTGGCCATAGATTCATATGCGAAAAATAATATAATTTTGATCTGATTCGTGGTTTGGCCGCCATCTTGGATTTTGTGAAA